ACAGAAAGCGAGAAATCACCCCCCAGGGGGGATGGTCACGCCGCAATCCCTTCTCCTCTATTCTCCTCTCGGGATCTTGGGCACGCACACACACGCACCCGGCGTGAGTTTTAAGCCACCGGGTCTGGGACGCGAACCGCGGTCGACTACATGGGAGTCCAGCGACATAGCCATTACGTTAACTGCTGGTTCCCAAGGCCCTGGTCTCTGACCTCCAGCATCTCCCTGGGCTTTGGGGCTCAGAGGCGTGCAGGGTGGGCCTGGCCCTCTCACACACTGGAGACCGCTGGTCCAGGGTATGAGGCTGGTTTGCCCTTCCTCGTTAGCAAGTCGTCCTAGCACCTGCTGCCTCTCCCACCCACCCCTCGCTGCAGGCGCCAAGGCCCCTCGGGCCCACAGGCACACACAGGGCACCCTCCCAGAGGGCCAGGCCAGCCTTACCGCTCTACTGTTAACGCTTCCGCGCTCTCTTGTCGCTTGACCCGAGGAGGTGCTGGTCTTGCACTGCTGGGCCGAGGGATTCTTCTAAACACAAACATCGGAAAAGCAAAAAAGGGACAAGAAACACTTACAGGTCTCAAAGTAGACACAGAGGCCAGCCAATGCTGATACTGACTTCCAGGCACACCGACACCACACACGTGCTGGTCAGACGCACTCCGCAGAGTGCCAAGGACATCCAGACAACCGGCGGCCTGGACACCACTCACCCTCTACTCTCACGGTTCCAATCATGTCAAGGTACCAAAAAGAAGTAACAGCACAGCCATCCCTAACCAATGACGAGGTACGTAACTTAGCCGTAATTACGAATTTCCCTCAGGCTCTAAAACATCCCACATATAATCACACAACTCAGGTCCAGGCAGACTGCATGGCGTGGCTTTCTCTGTACAAAGAATTGGCCATAATCTAGCTCAAGCATGAGAGAAACAGAACAGATCCAGAGGGAAGCCCCCGCCGCCCTGGCTGTGACCGCCCTCCCCGGGTAGGGGCCGGAGCACACAGACCTGACGCTGACCGACATCTCGTTGGGGATTTCGGAATGCTCTGACACCTCGGATTTGTCTTGGCCAGGAGGTCCAACGTCTGCTTCTAAACCGATGGCAGTCCAGACAGCAATGGGCAAAGGAAGAAGCAGAGACAGCGGAGAAATCAGGGCTGAAAGGCAGCGCCACCGAGCGGAGTGCAGAGCTGCTCCAGCCCCGTTGGCAGATAAAACAGAGACGGGGTCTAAATTCAGGAGGGTGTGGGGAAACGGGCTCGCTCACCCCCTGGAAAGGCCAGCTGATTCAGCTGCTCAAGAAATAAAACTCCAAAGGCAGTTGACCAACCGGCAACCTAACTTCGATGAAATACTTCACAAGCTAAGGAAAGCACAAGGCGGCCCCATGGCTGCCCGGTTACAGCCATCACCACAGACAGCGGGGGCAGCCAGTGGCCACATGAGCACGGTCCACCACACGCAAGACCCTCTTGTGTCCATCCAGGTCTCCGTCCTGACATGCAGCCAGCAGCACAGGAGGTCACCTCCGTGACAACTGCACACACACACACACGTAGGTCTGGAAGGCACTCACTGAAGTGGGGAGCCATGGAATTAGCAGTGATTTGATCTCCTGCATATTTTTCTGCATTTTAAAAATTTCGTATCATGGGTATGTTCCATACTAGTTATAATCTGAACAAAGCTTTTTTTTATTTTGATAGGACTTGTTATAAGCCCAAAGTATTAAAATGATTAAATTTACTTTCTAAAGTGAAAGAAATACATACTTGAGAAAATGTTAAAATGTGAATATACATTACTGAATATAAATAACACATTTTGTATTCTAGAAGAAAATCTTGAAATGTATTCTTTTGGGCTGGCTCCATGGCCAGGTAGTTAAGGTAGCTGGATCCCAGGTGGCTGACCACTGGGTCTGAACCCCAGCCTGACGGTTCGCAAAGCACCCTGGGTACACGGGAGAGAAGGCGGAGGGCTGCAGCGTGCGTGCGATGTGGGGGTGCTCTCTCCCGCCCACTCTCTGTCTACTTTCTCTCCAGCGAGTGCACGAACCTTCTGACAGTCTTTTTAAAAAGAAATGTATTCTTTTGAAACTTAAAACATAAATTCATCTTAAATTGGTGTAGTGAAGGTCTGTTTCCATAAAATACTTTCACTAGTGCAATGTTTAAAACAGAGGCCCGAAAATACGTTCGAGTGCTTGCACACACACACGCACCTTCACCAAGCACCTACGGAAAGCCACTCCTTACCTGCATCGCTAGTGGAGTCACCTGCGGAGAAAAGCACATCACAAAGTCAGCGTCTGTACTGGCACCTCCGTCCACAGAGGGTCGAAGTCGAGACGAGATGGTCCTAAGTGTCTACTAGGGGAAGAAGACGGTGCCCACACAGCCCCTTCCCAGACTCCGGCTGCTGCTTCATCTCCAGAGACAGACCAGAGCAAATGCACAAGACCATGCACATAAATGTCATCACAGGGAAGCAAGGGACAGGGCAGTGAAGAGCGAGCATGGAGGCCAGGCAGACCAGACAAGACAGCAGCAGGTGGACAACAGCAGGGGCACAGGGAGGGCGGCACAACAGGACCGCTCTGGCTGGCCTCCCGGTGGCAGTTCCGAGACCGGCGGTGACCGCAAAGGCTCGGTGGCAGGCACATTCCACCAGCTCCGAAACAAGGGGGAGGGATGAGCGTCTCTGCTCCTCCCACCTCTGCACTCTCACCCAAGACCCCTTCTCCTCCCGTGCTGTTTCAGAGACAAATGTCACCCAGGTGGCCACGAGGAAAGCGCGATGGGCAGACTCGAAACTCGGGGTGGACTTTTGTGCCGTGCTCTCCTGACACAGAACTCTGCAGAGAAGAGCCCGACCTGCACAGAGCCCAAGAGCCCCCGACGCACAGCACTCACTCACGGTGGTCCCCTCAGGCCTCTGCTGTCCTGAGGGTCCATGTGCACAAGAGTGAAAAGCACTGCCCTGCGCCTCTGGGCTGTCTGTCCACAGGAGGGCTCCTGGGACCCTCCAGTCAGAGGTGAAGCCAGTGCTGCCCTAATGGGGCGGCTGGGAAGGCCCACTAAGCTCCGGGGTACCGGAGCCAAGAGGCCAGACGACCCCGTGGCTGCAGGCCCCAGGCTGCCAGAAGTCAGGTCCCGCAAGGTGACACAGCACTGAAGACGGCCTGGACCCGCCAGAGCCAGCAGGACTTGAGGGACAGCACGAGGCGGGGGAGGGGGGGAACAACAGAAAAACAGTGTGAAGACAAGAAACACCACACGCAGCATTGTTGGGGAGCCCGATATGGTATGTGGAGACCACGGGGTGGGACAGAAGCAGGACTTGAGGGACAGCACGAGGCGGGGGGGGAACGACAGAAAAACAGTGTGAAGACAAGAAAACCACATGCAGCATTGTTGGGGAGCCCGGTATGTTATGTGGAGACCACGGGGTGGGACAGGTTTCTGGTCAACATAATGAACTTGTGTGAACCTCTAAAAAACATTGCAAGTTCACTTCAGCTTGGTGTCCTTACTGGAAGTAATTTTTAAATAAAAAAATATTCAAAAGTACATGGAAATACACAACATTCATTGTTTTCCTTCTCTCGCCTAAAAATCTGATATATATGTGAAGGACTGTGGGTCTGTGTTAATTTGACATAACGTATTTTTTTTTCTAATCTTATTTGAACATTTATAAAATCACCACACCCAAGACTCAAGAATATTTGACTCAATACTAATTGGCTAAATGTCTGTGAGTTAGTTAAGGTCATATTTGACCTCTGGTTTGTTATCTACAAAATAAAGAGTCTGTAAATAAATTCACTATTTTTAAAGATTCTTTATTTTTATCATATGAAAAAAAAAGACAGGTATCTGCAACAGGGTCTTCACACCAAGATTCTATCTAATATTGACAGGATATTGAATATTACCAAAGAAGGAATATTTGGATTTAAATAGATCCCCATACTTTGTGAAAGAAAAGAAATCAAATCTACTTCTCTGGAAGTATTTTTATGCAATTTGGGATGGACAGATAAGGCCTAACTAAGACCTGGTGGTAAGGAAACAACAAAGAAAGTGAAGGGCAACAGATACCTGTGATAAAATCCCTGTGAAAATCAAAAAGAGTTAAGAGTCCAGCAGGTGGTGTGGTGGCTAAGGCCCTGGATCCCACATGGACAACTACAGTTAGATTCCTGGACCTGGCAGCTTGAAATTCATGCCTTGTTCTTGTATAGGTGAGCCCAAGATCCCGAGAGGAGAATGGGGGAAAAAGGATTGTGGCATGGCCATCCCCACTGGAGGGTGATTCTCGCTTTCTGTCTCTCTGGCTCTCTCTGGCTCTGCAGCAAGCGCACATACCCTATAGTAAGACTCTCTTTAAAATAAAAATATTCAAATTAAATAAATAAATAAAAATAATAAAAAAAAGAAACGGGTACACCCTCTGTTTACCCCTGCACTCTACCCAAAAAAGCAAAATAACTGACGACCAGCCCCTTGAACTCTCTGCAGCTCCTGATCCTGCAATGCCAGCTGGGCCCGGGCAGTAGGCACAGGCTGGCACAGCACGGGCCGGCGTTTTGGGGAACACTGAGAACATAAGGCAATGTGTGGAAAGGCCAGTTAGCCAGACCACCAGGAGCAGGGCTGGCAACCACACTCCTTGGGAGAAACAGAGGAGCTGCCTCATCTGCCAGAGGGTGCCAAAGTCAAATGGCCGCCAGAGAGGCCACTGTGCCGTGACAGGACTCAAGGGAGAAGGGCCTCAGGGAGAAGGGTCGGGGTGGCCCGGCTGTTCTGACAGCACCGCCCAGGGACGGCGCGGGTGGAGACGCTCACTCCATCGGGAGCGTCAGCCATCGTCCTAACCCTGCACACAGCTCAGAGAACCCGGGCTGGCCGTCTGGGCCCCTCGGCGGCCCACCGTGTGCTCCTTCCTTCTTGCGGATCTCCTCCGAAGGAGGTGCTCAACACGGGTCTAAAGAAGTGTCAACCCCTTCTCACCCCGATGAAGGGCTGGTCAGACCACACTGATCCGGGACAAAGCAGACCCCGCCTGTGCCAGCCCTGTGACAAACAGCACTGCGGGACATCAGCTCACTCACCCCCGAGGCAGGTATCTTCACACCTCTCTCCAGTAAGGAAACCATGACTCGGCTAGCGGCCAAGAGCGGGTGAGCGGAGCAGGGGCACCATCCTGGTGTCTCGGACGTCCCAGCTACCCGTGCAGGTGGGGCCACCTGCTCTGCCCACCCAGGACCAGAACACACACACGCACCAGGGCTCTCTGAGGGGAAGCGCCCCGGACACGACGCCCTGCCACAAGAGGCAGGTAGCTGCGAAGCAGCACGCCCCTCCTGGAAAGTGCACCCCGAGAGGCCGCCTGGCTCAGTCTGGTAACCCCGTATAGGCGCCCCAAGCTGCTGCGGACCTGGTCGGTCCACACCCTTGCCCTGTGTGAACAAAACAGCCACAGGCCCCAGGAGCGACCTGCTGTGTGATGACAGAGACGCGGCTACAGACACCGCCCAGGGGAGATGCAGGCTCCGAAGGAAAGGAGCCTCTTCAAACCTGCCAGAGCACACGCGCACCTGCCAGAGAGACAGAGACAGAGAGAGAGGAGACTCTTTAAACCTGCCAGAGGACACGCGTCCGCCAGAGAGACAGAGACAGAGAGAGAGGAGACTCTTTAAACCTGCCAGAGGACACGCGTCCACCAGAGAGACAGAGACAGAGAGGAGCACGCAGTCCCCTGGGCACGGTTACACAGTTCCCTCCCTCCTTTCAGGATTTGGAGCCCGTACACACACATGCCTGGCGTGCTTCACAAGCCACTGGGAACCAGGACTCAAATGGTACAGTCAGCCATGTGGGTCTGGCGCACATAACAACCGGGCCACCAGTGGAGAAAGAGAGACAGAGAGAGGGAAAGTGAGAAATCACCCCCCGGGGGATGGCCACCACAATCCCTTCTCCATTCTCCTCTCAGGATCTTGGGTATGTAGCACATGCACCCAGTGTGATTTTCAAGTCACCAGGTCTAGGACCTGAGCTGTGGTGACCATGTGTGAATCCAGTGCCTTACCCCCCACACCACCTGCTGGCCCAAACCTATAGAATTTCTTAAAAATCAGATAAATATAAGACAAACTGAGTCTGGAAAGAACTTATTTTCTCCTAGAGTTACAATGTACACTATTTTTCATTGAAATGCAACTCAGAAACCCAACGCTTTGAAGAACTTGGTCTGAAGTCATGGAAGACTGGAGGTGTGCTGTGTTCTCGCGGGCCAGCCCCCCTGCGGCAGGACACGCCCTCTGTGCAGAGTGCCACCTGCTGCCTTTCCCTGACCGCGGAAGCGACCGGGCGCCCCCGACGGCCACAGCAGCACTCTCAACTCTGCCACGGCATTTCTGAGCAGGATCAAGCGGAGAGGGATGGACACAGAAAACTTCTTTCTCCATGTGATCATCTGCATCGTTTTGTAAAATTCCAAGAACAAGGTTAGGAAGGCATTCTGACTTAAACGTAAAAACAAGGTATACACAGAAAGGAGAGTGACAGTTAACTTGAAGCTATCACACGGCCTCACGGATGAAAGCAAAATAAAACAGCAGGTCGCTTCGCATCTTCAGGACAGTGTGAACGTCTGAAACGGGAAAGTGGCCAGAGTAGGAACAGCAATCTAAAACCCGAGAGCCCTTCGGCAGTTAGGACACCCGCACATTGAGTCCCACCTCACGGCCACCGCAGTGGTGGGGAGTCCAGGACGCAGCCTGAAACGCGTGCCCCAGTCTCCACAGGACGGGGAAACGGAGGGGAAGGAACGCAGTGTGGCCACACCTGCTGGAGGACTCCCTCTCCCTAGTGAGCACAAGTACTGTCTAGTAATTTAAAAATAATAATACAGTACATTACGAAGTCAGCTACAGTGAGGTATAAGTAAACACTCCACATCAGGTCAGCCTCAGGGCCTCGCGGCGGAGGAAGCGGACTCCCACATGACTGCTTATGATCCAAACCCTGGCCCTGGCGCCTTGGAGAACACACAGAGCACACATGCATGCATGTCCAAAACCCCACAGGACAGAGAAATAAAGGACAAGGGACGCGGCAGGACCACGCCCAGTGGGGAGTGCCCCTCCCCCTCCCTCTCGTGAGGACCCGCACTCTTTCGCACACACATTAAAAAAAAAAGAAAAGCCTTATCGAAGTGGTATGGAACTTAAATATACTCCTCATGCCTACTTCTGAAGCTGCAGTTTCCTGATCCGGCCGTTAGCTCATTTAAACACTATGGGGCCCTACAGACCCTCCTTCCTCCTTGCCGTAAACAGTCCAGAGAGGAAAGTACCATGAAGGTTGTCTGGTCGCTTTAGTCGGGGTTCAGAGGGGTTACACCAAGGTCCCACACACTGCCCCGTCGACTCTGGTCCCTTCCCGGCTGCCCGAACTATCCCACGGAACTCCGCTCAGAGGATCTGGGCGCCCACGCTCGCCCCCACACTCCCCTCCCTAGGCTTCCAGGACACCCTCTCGCCTGGCTTCTCTCCGGACTCCCCTGACCCACTGGTCCCCTGTTTCCCTGCCAATCCCAACACCTGGCAGGTCAGGAGTCCACACGGGCTACTGGATCGACTGTCACACAGGGCTGTGCTGGAGAGCACCGCACGCTGGAAGCTCCTGGCTGCCCCTGCTGCAGTTCCTGCGATCGCGCCCCGCCTCTGCCTCACCTGGCCACGGCGCAGCAACGCCCCCCAGGCCCAGCCCCCCCCCCCAAGAGGCCACCCAGAAGATCTAGATCTGTTTCCCCGCCTTCCCAGCAGGTGGCACCCACTCCGTCAGAGCCCCTGCCCTGCCCTGCCGCTCTGCTCTCGCCACCGGCACTCCAATCTCAGCTGCTTGGTCTCTCACCTGGACGCCATGACCACCTCTGCACTGTGCCCCAGTCTCCAACATGCCTCTCTGCAGTGTGTGTTTATTTTAGTCTTTTTGTTTTTTAATTGTCAGAGGGCACAGGCACTCGCCAAATAAAGAGACAGAGAGGGAGAGAGAGGGGAGACAGAGACCTCGAGTGGGGTGTGGTCATGCCACGATCAATCCCTCTCCTCCAACTCTTCACCCCGTCAGGATGTGGCATGGGTATGTGCATACATGCACACACTTGCCCGGCGTGATTTTCAAGCTGCTGTGGCTAGGATTTAAACCACATGGTCAGCCATGCGGGATCTAGCTCCCTGAGCCACCAGCCACAGGGTCAGGTGCCCCTACGGTTTCCAAAGGGGTCAAACCTCACCTGTCTCCTGCTAAAACCCTCCAACGACTTGTGCTTACACTCACTGTGGAGCACCCGGCTGGCGTGGCCCAGCCTCCTCCAGCCCTGCCTCCTGCTCCAGCCCTTCCCCACAGTCCTCGCCCTACCCCACTTTCTGCCATTCACACGGGCAGGCCCAGCCTCAGCTCAGGCCTCCGCTCGGGCTCTCCAGACACTGCACACCCTCCTTTGCCCCACCAGCTGTCCAGGTGACTCTGCAAGAGGCCCGCCCCGCCTGCACCTCTCACCCGTTGCTCTTGGATTCACTTTCCCTTCAAAAGACTCATCACAGGCCAGTGTAACTGCACAGGCCGCGTCCTCGCTATACGGGTCTGCGGAATGAAGAAGAGAGGTTCCGATGACTGAGCTGGCTGGGGCCCGCCCTGCAGCTCCCCCTGCTGCAGAGAGCAGTGCCCACACTCGGGCCTGCGTCAGGGTGGGCCGCCCGGCCTGCCCGCAGTGGAGCTCCACCTGCCCAGTGGCCAAAGGGAAGCAGAAGCGCAGGCAGCGAGCGGTTTCAACTCTCAGAAGTCCACTCGGCCTCGCTGTGGCTAGTCTTACCGAGAGGCCTCACGGTGCACTCTGTCTGAGCCGTGCTGTATGAGGAGTTACGTTCTTTTTCAGGGCAAAGACTAATTTCAATGGCTCTAGAGTCCCTCCTTCCTGACGTGAAATTGCAGTGAAAACACATATTAAACGCCATTTATAATGCTGCACAGCTAGCAAGCCAGTGAGATGAAATGTTCTGGCTGGCTCAAAGGGATCAGTTCCGCTACAAGGCACCACTCGGCAAGAAGCAAAAACCAACCTATTCTGAACGTGGAGTGTGTTTTGGATTCCGAGGGATGACCCTAACAGTTCAGCTGACAATCATGTTCCACACTGTGCAGTGAATGCAAGGCTCCCCCGCCCCCGGCAGAACACAGAGGTCCCGGGCCTCGTGCACCTCAGAGTACGGGCATCCCAGAAGCCCACCCCCTACACAAGGCAGAGCGTGGGGGCCAGTGCCGGCCATGCCGGGGGGCCCACGGTGAAGTCAGTGGCCAGCTGGCAGGCAGAGGACAAGAAGCACCCCGTGTAGACAGCTCCGTGACGCTTACAGCAAACCTCAGCTAATCGAAGCTCCCAAAGACCACACAGAAAGAACCTCTAGCACAGCAGCAGCAAACACAGGTGCCAATGCCCTCGGTGATTAGAGAAGAACAGACGGGAGGACGGCCTGCTTGGAAAGCCCAGGCAACCAAATCAACGCCAGAGCTGGTGACGATGTGGCGACAAAGCTCCAGTAAGATGCACTTACAAATATCCAGAAAGCATCCGACATACCAACAGG